GGTGTTCCGGCACGGCGCTCGCACGCCGCTGAAGCCCATCCCCTGCGGGCGGCAGGTGAGAGCCCCCCCTGCCCGCCCCTCCCCCGACAGGGGCGCTGGAACGCCGGCCGCGCTCTAGAACGCTGGGGCGGTGCCTGCAACCCGCAGCGTTCGGCGCCGGAACGCTTCGCCCGCCGCAGCCGCGCCTGGCCTGCGGGCCGCTTCCCAGCCCAGCGCCCAGGCGGGGGCTGCGCGAGAGCGTCTAGTCCAGTTCAGCCTCCCTTGCCGCAGCTGGAGACCGTTGCTGCTGCTTCTGTCGTCTGCTGCCACTGAGAACAGTCCTACTCCACCCTCTTTGACCCCCCACCCCAGGGGGTTGCGCAGACTCACAGAAAGTTAGGGTTGGAAGGGACCTCGGGAGGTAATCTAGTCCAACCCCTTGTTACGCCACCCTGGTTCTGTAGTCCTGGCTCCTTTCTCAAAGCGAATTAATTACAGGACTAAAGGTTGTGAGGAAAGATTAACCTTGAAATAAGGAACCAGAAATAAGGAACTGGGAACCAGGACTAAAAAACTTCCTAAAGAAAAGCCCAGGGGCTGCAGCCAACTTTCCTCTGGGCCCCCTGCTACACATTGCATACATTCTGCAATTCACTGGTGAATTGCGCAATAAGTTTAGACTGGCCACACATGCAGAGTGACTTGCACAATCAACTGGTGAATCGCACAATAAGTTAGGACAAAATAATTGGTGCACAATTAATGGGTGAATTGCACAAGATATTTTGACCAGCCATGCATGTAATGATTGTACCATCATAACAACTGTTGAGCTGTAAAAAGAGCCAAGCAGCTACGAAGTGAATGCTTGAAAATCTGTAAAAACTGGAGAGCTAGTTTCTATCCAGTTTTTAATTTGAATGTGTGGCAGCAGCCCTACAGAATGGGGATGCTACAGAGAAAGTGTTCACCCAGACACTCCCATCCCCTGCTGCCTCGCAAATGGAAGAAGCAGGGACCCATTGCCTGAGAGTAGCAGGGTGGTTCAGAGAGCATCGCTGATTCAACTGTCTGGCCTTCTGGCTTCAACTTGGATAGAATTCATTCTTCTGTTTTGCATGACCTCCAGGACATTTCGTCCCAAAACCTTTGTGCCCACCCAGATTGCTATGTTTCTTGAAGGCCACTGCCATGTTTTGTTTTTATTTCTTTCCAGGAAGAAGTTTCTGTGCACTTTGGTCACTTGCCAATGATGCCAGGAAGGATAAGCATGGACTTTGGATGTAAAAAAACCCCCAAACAATACTATAGTTTGTGAATGTGGCCGGTGCCTGACTTTGGGAACCTGTATTTGCAAGGTTCCAAATGCCAGTCCTTTGATATGATGTTGAGATCCTGTCAGAACCTGCCTGTTTTGCTGCCAAGTCTCGTGGTTGTTTTTACTGTCTCCATAGCTTAGATAATGTATAGAGCTATTGCGAAAAGAAAGAAATCCTTGTCTGGTTTAGATCTGATGATATCATTGATGTTTGAGAACTGTCTGCATGCTAATGCACTAGTGCATGACTGGTTGAACGTGAATCCAGATATGGTTCTGAACCTGGTCTCAAATGTCCCCAAACTCAAGTTTACAGAATATGGTAAGGCAAAGGCTTCAAACAAATGAAGTTAAAAGTACAGTAAAACCTTGCTCATTTGGTCTGACAGCAGGAAGTCCCTTTAAAAAACATTTAATTATTTTTATTAGTGAAGAGACTACATCTACTTCATGACAATGTCCTCTGTTCATTTATTGAGCTAGAATTTAACTTACATGCCATAGTATGCCAGTAGACATACTTCCCTGTAGTGCCTAAAATGATGAAGTAGGACTGGAGTGGTGGTATAGCCATGATGACCCAGGAAATATGTGAGAAGCAAGGTTTCATGCTGTCTTCTTGAACCAGCTGTGTAGGTGGGAGAGCTGTTAGACAAGCCTTTGGGTATAAAGTGGCCTTCATCAGGCACTTTCTGCCCAAAAGCTTATCTAAAATTACAAAGTCTTGGTAAAGTGAAGCTTTACTGTGGGAGTCAGCTCTTCAGTCCTTGCTAAAAAGAAAGGTTCATACCATTTATTCAGAAATGTGGGAATCAGGAAATTGCAACTGAGCAAGGCTCCAAGTTCATAATTTAAAATGGAGCTAGTATCAAGTGTCCAAACATGTTCTTAGACACATTGTGTTGCACGGGTGCATATAGCTAAAAGCAGAGCTGGATCGTTTGCTGTTGTGTAACTTACTAAAATAGTAACTGCTTTCTAATAGCATACAATCACTTTTACATGTTTGGAAACTGTTACAAAACAGTATTTAGTGTTTAGCATGAACAAATTTGTCTTTGTCACCCTTCACTCAAATATGTTGTTGCATGTGCAGAAATTCAGCTACAGTGCTGCATTATTCTAAGGGTTGTATAATTGCATGTCATTATGTAAAAGATCTTTTTTAAGTTCAGAAAAATCCTTTTAGTCACAGTGTTTGCCAGATGCTGATAGAGTCAGATTTTCTTATTTCTTACAAAATTGCAATCAGGATGCACACAAGCGCTTTTTACTGGCCAGGGCAGGGGGTTGGACTCAATGATCTACAAAGGTCCCTTCCGACCCTAAAAATCTATTAAATCTATTATTGCACTGTCAATACACAGCTATTGGCTTTGGTTTTGTTTGTTTTTTTATAGTGGTTGGACAGATATAGGACTTCAAGTGAATAAAACACAAAGTAAAGGGTTGGGACTTAGGTTTTTCAAGCCTTTTTTTCCTAGATCCATCTGGAAATCATTTTTTTATTGGCTATGTCACTAGAGAACTTTTCAACAGGACAGTAAGGCTAAGAATGGGAGTTAGCAGTAACAGCTGGATGGATGCAGCCCCCTGCCCTCCTCCCCCTCCCTTTCAATGTTGTACTGAATAAAACAGGAAATGCTGTTGTACTCATGAGAAATAGGTCTGTGAGGATCCTTCAGACTGCGAAGTGTGCACGCTCCCTCTTGAGTAGTTGGAAAATGCATGGCGGCAGCAGCAGTCAAGACCACCTCTCTCAAGTTCCCCACCAATACAGACACAAAATAGGGGTGTATTTGACACTTAAGCAAGTGCTGTTCTAAGGCAAACAGAGATCTGTTCCAAAGCAGGCTGCTCTGACTGAGCCAGCCCCCTGACTTGAGCATCACAGCAATTCACCATGTCCTCTATGGACTCCAGCTTGAGGTTCTCAGTTCCAGGGCAGTAGCTCTATCCTTTAGCTAAAGAAGTTTAATTTGGTATGAGTCATAGTAGCAATTATCTTCTAATTCTGCTTCTGCTGTGAGATGGGGCATGGCCAGTATCGTATCTCAGTACAGGCCTTTGTTCTGGAATAAGAAGTCCTAGTGCTGTATGTTTCCAGAGGCTATGTTCTGTGGTGGGAGACTGTGGAGTCCTGTTGTCTCCTGTTTGTTCCCGTCATAAGCAGACTGCATGCTGCATTCCCTTGTGCTTCTCTTGGTCTGATGCAATTCACTTTCCATTTCTCTTGCTTTTTGCTACAGGTGGAATGGCATCCTACCCTGTTGGAAGTCCCTGCTCAAACTCAGTTTGATTACACAGTAACTGACCTCAATGGTGGCCCAAGACCCCATTCCCCTTATGAAGATCAATATAAAAAAACTGTGCTGAAGGTGAGGGATTCTTTCCTGTTATCTAGACATTCCCTTGAAACTTGCTTATTTCCACATCTTGAATACAGCCTCACCATTTCTCTCCCCAGGGTGGTGTGATTGCAGGGCAGCTGACGAGGGTTGGGATGCAGCAGATGTTTGCACTGGGGGAGAGGCTAAGGAGAAGCTACATAGAGGAACTCAACTTCCTCTCTTCAGCGTACAAGCCTTCCGAGGTGTTGTGAGTCTCTGAAATTTTTGTTCCAAGTCCTCAGCTACCCCTGCTCTTCCTTATTGAAGGAAGGCTTCAGTCCTGCATGTGCCTCTCCTGCCTGCATATAGCAGATTCTTTACAGGGAGCTATGGCTGACCCTTCCCACCTGTACTATCTGACTTGTACAATTTGGTATGAAGAGTCTCTAGTGATTTCAGCCATTAAAGTCCCCAGCAATGCCATTGATGACAGTGGGCACCAGAAGCAACTATTTCATGGTGGGCTTCTGTGGATTCCATTCCATGGCTGCAGCCTGAGAACATAACACAAGTGCCATGTTGCATCCCACTACAGGTCCAGGTAGCCCAGTACCTCATATCTCCCAAGGGGAAAGAGTATATAAGCAACACCAGGCTGATTGTCCCTTGTTTTTCTTTCCTTAGACCTTGCAGTACTTAGAGGTCTAGGAAGTTTTAAGTAGAAGGTTGCCACCCTCCTTACAGGATGGAGATACATGCCGTTTCACCAGTTGTCTTCTCTTTTAGTGTCCGTTCCACCAATATAATTCGGAATCTGGAGTCCACGCGCTGTCTGCTGGCTGGGCTGTTTCAGCAGCAGAGAGAAGGTGAGAGGGAGGATTGTATCTGATTTGCTTCCCATTCTCATGCTCCATAGGCCCCGGACACTGTCTTGCCTCACACCTCATCTTGTTCTAGGCTTGTTGTTCCTCCACCCCTTCTGTTGCCTATTGATCCCATCTCCGGTGTCTTCTGACTGCTGCCTTTTCTGTGTTTCCCTTTTGCACCATCTCCTCGGCTTTGTTCAGGTGTGCAGGCTTTGTCTTTTGCCACCAGTGCTGCAAACTCAATGTGAATGAGGAGCAGCATCAGAAACAGATGATGAGAAACAGGAAGAGAGGCAGGTCAAAAGCAGACCCCCACCCTGTCGTTCCAGTCACACCATGTACTCGCTAGCATGAGCGCTAATTTGTTCCCCAAGAGAACATCTCCTTTCTGCTTTCAGAGCATTTCACTCCAGAGAATGACAGCAAAAGTGACTCTGCAGTTCATTGCTCCAGCAGGAATGCAGGGAGGTGCAGATGCTAAAGCAAGCAAGCAAGCAACAGCCATAGGAAATCCAGGCAGTGGGACTGACCCCAGATTCCAAGAGCAAGAAAACACCCTGGGGTAGGGATTATCATGTACTAAGTGTATGGGGCTTAACATGATGGATTTTGCCTATAGATGGTGCCACAATGTGAACTGACAAAAACCAGAACCTGGCATAGCTGGGTATGAGGACAGTGATTCTAGCACCAGAGAAGTGCCTCCAGTTGCCTTCTATAAGGATTATAGGACTGGGTCACACGGCCATGACAGTAACTAAAATAGTATGAGCCATACCTCATGCTGTGCATGGGATAATAAAAGCTTCTTTTTGTTCGATTCTACAGGACCCATCACAATTGTCACAGATGAAGCAAACACAGAAATCCTATACCCCAATTATCAGAATTGCCAACGCCTGAAACACTTGAGCAGGTGAATTGCCACTCACACCTTCCCCTTTGATGTCACTATAGTGTCATAGCCTGGTAATACTTTAAAGTATCACGTTTTCGTTCACTGAACTCTTCCTACAGCAGTGGTGTACTCTGGGTAGAATTAGATGCAATGTCAAAAGTAACGTGACGTGGTTCAAAAAATACCACTTGACAGCATGAGGAACATCTGAGCATTTCTTGAAATATTAGTTTAATCCAGAACAGTCACATATGCACTACTTGTAAAGTTATTGCATTTCTTATGCCCTGTAGTGATGCAAGTTTGTCTTAATTATGCCATTCAATACCTAAAATGCTTGGATTTCTTTTATATTTGCCCTTCCTTGTTTTGTAATCATTACAACATCCCTTTCATATTTATACCTTTAATTAACAAATACTCAGCCTCAAAATTACCAGATTAAATAAAAATCTATTTCTCTAAAAAAAATCTGTGTTGGAAGAACATTAAGGTAGCAAAGTTCAAGCACTCAACTTAGTAAAGGGTAGAACTGATATTGCCTCCACTGTCTTATTCTGTCTCTGGCATGTGGGCTGAGATGTGTGTTGGAGTGCACATCGCAACCCTGTAGAAGTGATCAAAAGTCACATGCAGAGAGAATTCTGAGTACTGTGGCTCCCCTCAATAATCTAAGCTATAGAAAGGATGTAGAAAAGAATAGTTAGGTGGCTGAATGAGGCAAACTATGATGCTACATGCACATTATCACTGTGACATTTACAACATTAACAACCAAATGCCCAACAAATTCTATCTGCACGTGCAAATAGCAGTTTTTTGAGGTAGAAGGATATAGCTGAGTTGGTGAACACTCCTTCTCTAACTCCAAGGCTACCCCCCTGACAAATTTAGACACCTGAGATTTGGAGCCAGAACTAGTACTGCTCAAGGGGGTGAGAGTGGGGGAGCTTCTGTTTGCATGTATTTAACATTCCTCCTGCAGCAGAGGCCAGCATGGAAATGTTCAGCCCAAGTGGCTGACATTTAACAAAGTTAAAAGCAATTGAAAAGAGGGACCTATGATAGAAAATGTTAGGTGAACTTAAGGTATTGCTGTGCATTTCTTTGATAGCACAAAAATGTAGAATCAGTTCAGAACATCTGTTCTTTCCTTGTGAGGCAAATTGCGTTCCTTGAAAGCACAGGTGGGCTGAGGTCCCATGCAACAGCCTATTCACGGATGTGGGATTGCTGCTTAGGGTATCCTGGTTTGAATGAGACATGAGTGTTTCAAAAGATTTCTTCTTTTCAGTAAGCCTCCCCACACTTCAAATTCTGACGACAGCCAGACTTTTGGCATCAGAACAAACACTTAGAATCTGTTGCTTCTCACAGCAGAGCTCCAAACACTGAGATATCCTCCAGCACTGGGGAGGTTCCACTGTCTCCATCCTCCCACTGCTGGGGGGACAATCCCCAGTGGAAGTGTGGGCTGATTCTCCTCTTGTGCTTGCCAGGGTGTCTTAAGAACCTATGTCAAAATCTGGTGGGGTTTTTTTGGCTTTGGACAGGGATAAAATGGGCAGCGTCTTGTGGCAGCCAGGCATTTCTGATGATCTGAAGACCATTAAAAAGAAGATGGGTATTGACACTGATAAGCAGGTGGACTTTTTCCTTCTACTTGACAACATCTTTGCTGAACAGGTGAGATGGGGCATACACGCAGCTGCAGCCTAATAGGTTATAACAAACTGCCTGTAATATTTCCTTACTGAGGCTCCCAGTCCTTCAGGCAGACCTATGCAGACAGTTCACTGGGCTAGAGCAGAACTCCACTGAAGTCAGTAGCATTTCACAGGCATCTGTCTGTGAATCCCAGCAAGCTAAAGTGAGTCCTTAAGGCAGCAGCAGATTGGAGGAATGTTGTCTGAACAAAGGGCCTGATTCTGTACAGTGCTGAGGACACTTTCCTTTCCACGGCATCAGTGGAGGCTGGAGGTATCTACTTAAATAATATAAATTTTATTAAATGGCAAGGTCTCCCCTGGCCAAAAGTTAAATGGTCCTTCCCGCATTTGGCTTATGAAGCTCAGTTGTTAATTCACAGTTACTCCCACAGTGGTCCTCTCCCAGGGCTCCCCCTACAGGCATAACACAGCTTTGCAGCCATCCAGCCACTGGTCTGAAGCATCCACATGAAGGAGACCCAGCCCTCTGGTTGGGTCCATAGACATTCCCCCTTCCTTTTGAGGGTCAGGAGCAATCCAGAAGGCGCCAAACACAAATTAAATCACTCAGCATTTTGGTAGGAGTCATTTTCTTCAGAGAAACCTTGTAGGTCAAAGCCCCAGCTGGGCTCCAAGGTGAGCGTATGTCAGTAGCTCTAAAGCTACTGACTTAGTAGTCAAGGCCCTTCCTTTCTTTAGGGAGAGGGACAACAGAGGCACCTAAGAAGTTCCTGCCTTTATCCAAACCCCTTTCTCTATCTGGTCTACCACCAGTTGGGTGATGCTTACCCTTTTGAGCTTCTTCTGTCTGATATCTCTTCCGGGTATGGTGAGGTAGAACTGATTGACCCCATTAACCTTGTGGTGACAAGTACGGGGTTTGTGTAAATGCCTCCCCCATCACAATACATATTTGCAAAGTGTTTATCTGATCAACAACTACAGACCCATTTCCACCCTGCTTCTCTTAGAGTGCACATGGTCCAGATCTAGTCCCTTTTCAGTGGTTGCTTTGGTTAACTTGTGTAAGAACAGGTTATGCAGATAATCTTGAGAAGGTCCAGGAGGGTTACCTGTATGGTTAGGGGCCTGTAGGTAAGATTCTACAAGGAGAGATTGAGGAACCTGAATCTTTTCAGCCTCAGCAAAAGGAGGCTGAGAGGGGATCTTGCAGCCATCTACAAATTCATCAGGGAGGGTAGCAAGGAATAGGGGACACTGTTTACCAGGGTGCCCCTTGGGGTTATTAAGAACAACAGCCAAAACCTGACAGAGAACAGATATAGATTAGACATTAGGAAAAATTTCTTTACAGTCAGGGTTGCCAAAATCTGGAATGGGCTTCCAAGGGAGGTGGTGTTCTCCCCTACCTTGGAGGTCTTTAAGAGGAGATTAAACAAGCACCTATATGGGGTCATCTGACCCCAGTGCTCTTTCCTGCCCAGGGCAGAGGGTTGGACTCCGTGATCTACAAAGGTCCCTTCCAACCCTAAAAATCTATTAAAGCTATGAACAGTCTTCATCCTAGCCTTCCTCTTGAGTTTGGTAGCCCCTGGTTTTTCTGCAAGACACCTATCTCTGTCTCAGTTTCTTGTACCTGGGAGAAGGGGAGGAGCTCAAAGCCTTTTTTGATAATCCTATCATAAATTGAAGGAATAGGGCCCCCCTGCTCTGGCTGTCAACATGTCCATCCCATGGCAATAAAATGAAGTACTTTTGTTTATATCCTCAGGCACAAATGTGTCTCTTCCATTTGTATAAGCACCAGATCTTCTGTCAAATAACCTACAAATGCTAAACTACCAAAGATGAGTAATCAGTCACCAGTACAGGTTCACAAAGGATGTTTCTGGTTCAGAACCAATAAATGCCCAGATTTAGATATGGTGTTCACGTATCATCTGCACCTGGTCTCCATAGCTGGCTCCTTACCGGGGCAGACCTAATGGATGCATGCTGTTTGTTTTACCTTGCCTGTTTTTCCAGGTGCACGACTTGCCCAGCTGCCCTGTGCTGAAGAGCTTCCTGCACATGATCGAGCAGCGATCTATTGACTCTTTCCTTTACATCATGGCATATGCTTCCAGGTGGTATTTTCTATTCCTGCCTCCAGTCTTGGGACAGTCCTGAGTAAAAGGAGCTTGGGGGAAGGTTCCAGCAAGGGAGGCTGAAGCAAATGAGCATGTACTCCTTTTATAGAACATAATTTCAGATGCATCAAATCTAAACCCCAGTAAGCAAATAGCTATCCTGGTGATGCATCATTTGTTACACACAGCAGGCCTGTGATTAGACCATGAATACTAGGAGAGAAATAGAGAGGAACTTCTAGGCTTGCAAAACACATGACATAAAAGGAATCCAATGCTACACATAGCAAATAAAAGTTCCTCCTGATGGTGTGTGGAAGTGGCTTTGCTGCTGCTTTAGCACCTGTGACAGTGAAATGTACCTCTTCCTTTAAAAGCGGGCTCACAGTTGCTATGCTTTCTAGTACTGGCGATGCTTTTGCCTTCTGTTAGGTCAGTAGCCAGTAACATTTTCCTGGATCATTAATTACAGTGTTTTGGGCTTCCCTGCCATCCTCCCTCCAGTTGCACAGAAAAGACTGCAAGTCAAAACCCAATGTAGCACTTTCCAGATAGTACTTAACAAAGCAAGAACTTTAACCAGGTGTTGCTTTATTGAAAACATTCTTCCCTCCCCTCCCATTTTGATTTCATTAGAAAGGTTTGTAAAGATACCATTAGAAAGGTTTGTCAGAGAGCATCCTATTCCCCCTACCCCCATCCCATCCCATGCACATGCCCATTTTAGAATAGCTTGTTAGTCAGTGCACTCATTTGGGAGATGCAGCCTCAAGTACCTGGCCATCCCACAGGGAGTACTCTAACCCCTAGGTTATTGGCTTTTCTACAATAGGCATCTCTTTTGCTTGTGATATTTCCCTCTTCCAGCCCTCCCCTCCTACCCACCCCCCAAAAAAATAAATAAATAAAAATCAGAAGGTCTCAGATTTGTCCCAGATAGGAACAAAGACCAAATCTTGAAACTACAGTACTTATTGTGAAGTGTGACTGTTCGCTAGCCAGCTTCAGTCATATCCCCTCAGCTGAAATCTGTATATTCAGAAAAGAAATGGGGAAGTGAAATAAAATATAAAATCAACAGTTCTCACTTTTTCTCTTTGCATGGCCCAAATCTTGAGAGACTGTCTTCTTGACACCTCTCCTTCCACTCACAATCAGGAGTCTTTACACGCGCTCTCCTCCAAGATATAATTGCATAAACATCTCTGGCATCTAAGCAATTGCTTTAATGGAAAGTTAACAGTAGGAATTGTATTTAATGGTTCTTGGTTGCATTTCATATACTTTATCACCTAATAATAAGAGAACAAGTCCCCAGGTCTCAATAGCAATTGTCTAAACCTGAACAAAATAGAAACTTACTTTCAAATTCTGTCTCTTCTAGGGAAGTTCTTCAAATGGCTGTTGGTCCCCTTCTGTATGCACTCCAGAAAAATATTCTGGAAGCAGTGGCTTCACCATCTTCAGCTACAGCAGCCAGGTACAGAACAAAATTGTCTCTCTGTCCACAATGAATTCCAACTGGCTGCCCATGAAGAACTGTTTCAAATACCAATTGAATGAACAAGTAGGGAAAAGCTAGATGTGGCAGTTAAATGTTAATCCAGCTGTTAGCCAAAGGTACATGAGTGATACCTAGAGATCCCTGGAGAAATAAATGCAGCTAACATTTACTTTAGCATTTTTCTCCCCATCAGAAAGTTCATTCTCTATGCTTCTCATGATGTTACCCTCATCCCTCTCTTGATGGCACTGGGAATCTTCGATCACAAATGGCCCCCGTATGCCTCAGATGTGACAATGGAACTGTATCAGCACCAGCATTCCAAAGAGTGGTTTGTACGCCTGTCTTACTGCGGACAGGTAAAGGACCTTTATGGCATCTCTGTAATGCAAGCACTAGATAGTGGGCCTCCCTCTCAGATTTGCCTAGATATGCAGCCCACTAGGCTGTGGAGCGAGTTTGGCTTGGTAGCATGGACACAGGACAGCTAGTCAGACTCTTGATCCTCTTCCTGACTAGCTGAGTTCTGTGGGGGCTTTGGATAAGGGTCTTCAGTTTCAGCTTTTCCAGTTTTCCCTTAGGCCAATTGCTTGTTTAGTTCATGGGGGGAGGAAGATTTCCGAAGTGCTTTAGGATTATCCACCAGGAGCTTTGGCCAAGCAAGCATTGCTGCTTTAAAAACATAAATAAATAGACGAGCGCACATATAAATGGTCTCTTTGCAGGAGCAAGTAGTGAAAGGATGCAAGACAGGTCTGTGTCCACTGGAAGAATTTCTAAACGCTGTCGCGCACTACAGCCTGAGTCCAGAGGAGTACAGTACCCTTTGTTCCCAGATGGAGAAGCAGCAGCAGACTGTCTCATAACGAGCATTTTAGATTAAACTCCATGTATTGCCGAAACTTTTTGTTCTTGAATTCTTTCACCTCTCCAATCGAAAAAGTCCCTCTGGCAACGATTAGACTAGTCTATATCAGTCACAGGATTTTACAGGTATGCATCGCTGGTAACAACAGTATCGGAAGTCACAGGAGATAGCGGAGTTAACGGAATCTCTCTAAATTTCTGTCTTAAGTACTGCCTCTTGATGTAGCAGGTGGACATAAAAAGCATAGGGAAGGAGGCTGAGGATCACTGAAAAACAGAAGGGTCTGACTGACTTGCAGTTGTAACGATAAGAACAGAAAAAATGCAGCTCCATCACCTCTGACAGCAGTGATAGAAGCATAACTCAACAGCCAGCCTACCAGCAGAGAAGCTTCTCCATTGTACCTTGGTGGTGGTGGTTCCAAAGGGCGCCACATTAGCTATTGTCCCTTCCACACCAGTGAAGTTGCTCTGCATAGAGAAGCCCATCCCACAGGTACACACATGCTGCTTGGAACTTGTGCATAGACCTCACCCTGTTTTAGGGATAGATGCTCCCACTCTCTTTTGCCCTGTCATGGTAGATCTGGAAATTCTTCTGCTTTGAGTATGCAAATAAACAGAGAGAGCCAAGAACAAATATTGGAGCAGATCATCGCAGCACAAAGCATACCAGAACCACTGGCCAAGTTTCTAGGTGAATTCTTCAGCTTCATAAGCTTAAACAGCAAACTATTGTTCAAGTCCAGATTTCACAAAGCCAGGCTGGGTCACATCTGGCTTATAGTTAACCAGAGAGCACTAAAGCCGTGTTTTTCAACCTTTTTCATTTGTGAACCCCTAACAAATTTCAAATGAAAATATGGGCCCCTTTGAATCGTGTGGGTATTCACATGCTTTTAATTGATCATAGTCATCTTTTGCAGGCCACAGGTTGAAAACCACTGCTCTATAAGCATACCAGTGCTCCTGAAAGTGCTGTTGATTTAGGTGGCAACACTTTTCTCTGCTGTAGTAAATAGTAAGGAGCACTATATTTCCAGAGGTGCTACTCTCAGCTTAATGTGCAAGTCATAAGTCCTGATCACTTCTGGCTGCCCGTGTTTCCATAGTATCGTGTGATGCCTGGAATTGCTATAGGAGGAAAGGGCTGCTTGGGGTCTGTCTACATAAATAACTCTGCAGTTTGCGCTGTACTGCAATCCTTTTCCAGATTGCCGGGCTGCTGCTATAATTCATGCGGTGCCAGGTACATGTAAACTGAAAGTACTCTTAATTAGAAGTGTGGGCTGCACTTGCCTCTCCCCTTTCTTTAGACAACCCCCATGTATCACTATTACATATTGACAAAATGTATAATGGAAGGCATAATTTGCATGCTTAAATACAGAGTCTAAAGTTCACTGCAACAGCAGTCAGAAAGACCAAAAGCAAACAAAAAACATCATCATTCTCCATCAAGTTCTTTAAGCATCCTGAAAATAAAAGTGTTACTGCAGGTGTCACCTGAGCAGCTTGGGTAGGACATGGCAGAAGTGCTCAGGGGAGAGCAATGGAAGCAATTAAAATGTAAAAGATGACTTATTTATGAAGAGATTGGAAAGATCTGACTTGCTTAGAAAGGAGAAGTAAGGGTCATCATCACAGGTGGTCTGGTGCAATGATTAATGTATGCCTAAAGTAAAACAGGAATTATTTTTCTCATACTGCAAGAACAGAACAGCATCCAGTGACAGGGAACAGCAGCAAGAATTAAAACACTCTGCAACTAAGTAGTGTGGCGCGGATACTCCAAGAGCACAGCAGATTTAAAAAAGGAATAATATTTATATGGGCAATAGACAAGCGGTTACCATAGATAGGATGAAATGCATATTAAAAGCAGTGCATTGCATCAGGGGTAAGGAAGATGCTTCCCCTTCCAGGCTGATTAATTCCATAATCTGTCACTTAGAGGTCTTCTTTCACTTTCCTCAAACACCTGTCTTTGGTCACTACCAGACAAGATACTAGGCTAGATGGGACCATAGGTTCCAAGTCAGTATGACAACACCTGTAAGCACAAGAATCATGCCAATGGGTAACAGTATAATTAAAGAATTAAGCTCCAATCTGCTCAGAGGAAGCTGCTCTCACATTTTAGTCATTACCAGTGACTAGCAGCAATAGTTCCTACTACACAACTTGGAGGCAATGTGGTGAGAGCACACTAAAGTTCAAATGCGCTGTGGGCTGGGGCCATTTTCCAGGAGCTATTAAGAGTAATCTTGTATGTACATGGTTTCTGGCACACTAGGACACTGATTCTGACATTCAGATGCTTCTCCAATGGAAAAAAATATATATAACTCCTTTTTCTGAGGGCAGATCAATGTCATTTAAAAACCATCAACCACCACCTATCCTGGAGGAAGTCATTAAGACTTGATGATAATGGTAAGTTTTACATGAGGGAACTTGAGCTGCTAACAGATGTTAGTCAATCCAGGCTTTGAGAACAGATGTACCTGAAATGGCCAAAGTTTAGACATGTTCCCAGCTCTTGCTGGGAGGATTCCTGTTCTCTAGAATCTTGAGAAAGAGTCGATGGCCATAGAGGTGCATCTTGTTCTTATAAGCAGCTCAGCTAGTTCACATTTCAGCTATTTCACATTTCCCTTACGTAACACCATTCCCAACAAAATAGCTGAGACATAAGAACATGATGCACCTCTTTCTCAAGATTCTAAACTGAGAACAAGGATTCTCTGCAAGAGCGTGGAGCACATCTAAACTTGGCCATTTCAGCTACACAAAACATCCACTCTCAAAGTCTGGGTTGACTAACATATTTGCAGTTCAAGTTCAACCTCAGGCTCCCCAGTAAGCTGAAACTTGAGCTGCTAAACCCTGGAAACCTAAGTTAAGTCTTCACTGCTATTTTAAACCCAAGTTAATTGGGCTAGCCAACACAACAGCTTAACATAACCTGTTTATTTGTAGTATAGATATACCCCTACAGACTACGCAATGGACATCCTAGCATAAACAAAAAGCAACTAATGCAACCGAATCCCATAAATAAACACCTTCCAATCTTAAGGAGAAACAATTCTGGGAAGTAAAGTTCTGATGTCAGTTTAAATCTTGAACAATATAATAAAGAACACTGAGAGTTGCTTCTCACCAAGAACTGGTTCTTATACCAAGACACTTCTGATGAACCTCGCCTACAACTTGGTGCTCAAATGCTGGCCGTTGGAAGAGTAAGTGGCCAATGAATAGGTTGCACTTGGCAGGAGCCCTGCCATAGAAAGTATTAGTGGATCTTTTTTAAAGACATTCCAGCTGTTTAACATGCAGTGAGCTATGCAAGGTGATGAATTGTCACATTTCTTAACACTACAGTTAGTTACACAAATACTTGGAAATTATCTAAACTGGCTGGCTTTAAACCTGTGGGATCTTCTCAAGTAAAACTTCCTTATTGGGAAGAGAATGAAGAGAATAGACAGCCATGAAAGATTTGGGGGGGGGGGAGTTGGCGGTTTTTTATTTGACTAGTAGCTGCTGTTGAATTGATGGAGTAGATCACCATATGCTACTAAACCAGAGATGTATCCAGCTTTAGCCATCATTGTTCCAGAAATACCAAACAAGTTCAGAGCAGTAGGATATAGTGTAATTAATTGTCTGCTGGTATTACATGGCAAGGAACATTTAGGTTGAAGGTATTTGAAGGGACTTGAAGGTATTAAAAATTGTGGAGTGTTGTCGAAACTAGAAGCCAGGCATACCTTTTTATCCTGTTAGAAAAAGAGAACAAGCCCAATCTTGATAAAATGAACACAAGCAGCACCAATAAATGAAGTTGTTTACAGCATATTTGGGATATGTAGTCCTGAGTGCCTAAGCAGTTCACAACAGATGCTAAACTAAAGAGGTCTAGTTTTTCTATCAAATTAGAAGCACAGATGTGGAAATCTAAATTCATGCCCAACCATGAGGCTCACACACAGATGCTACTCAGGCAGTAACCCATCTCACTACCTTTCAAGATCCCACACAAAATCAGATCCCAGAAGTCTGAGAAATGTGGCAAGTCTTCTTCTGAAATGTCAGCCTTGAAAGATATCATCCTGTCCTGCCTTTCCTCTGAAAAGTTACTTACTGAATACTATTAGAAGCCCATCACTAAACTAGCAAAACTAGCTAGTTAGTTAATCGATCCTCATTTGCACTGCTTTTGAGTTGATGCTCCATAGCATGACCCATGACCCCAGAATGACTGCCGATTCACTTTACAGATGAAGTGTTTTCAATGCCAAAGTGTACCACTTCCGACAGATTCCAAGAATTTCAACTTTCTGATTTTGCACAAGTTACCTTTAGTTTCCAATGCACCATCTGCTGGCTTCCATTTGTGTCTTTTTACATTTGAGCTGCAGCACAGCCATTTGGCATGGGAACATATGAACACCAGAATATCTTTTCCAATTTCACTAGAGAGGAAGAGCAGCCAAGCTACTTCGTTCTTTCAAACAAACAACACAGGAGGGGGATTTGAAATTTTTTTTAAAATGGGACTGAATACAAAAACTAGAAGTGGGTCCCTCTTTACCATCTTCAACTGCACCTTAACTACCAGAGCTGAGTCGGCAGGGGACCCCTGGTTACAAGGTGGAGAAAACAGAACCAGATGTACAGATCCCAAAGCAAACATGCAAGGCGAGTATCAAGAAAATCCCTTCATTTGTAAAGTGAACCTAGAATGGGACCATTGAGAGAAACAAGGAAGCCCAGTCTGTATTCCAAAGATTTTCTCTCTCACTTGAGCATAAGAGTCCAATTTTGCAAAGGGGAATAACTCTTCCAAAGGCAGTGGATTTTCCCCAATGTAAAAAAAAAAAAAAAAATGTTAGCAAGATGACAACCAGGTCCTGAAATTTTGCAGTTTTGAAACCTGTATTTTTTTTAACCCTCAATATGCAAACCTTTAATACATGCTGATTTTCTCCAGTTCTGTTACCCCTTTCTGACTATTCTTCAACTACTATGAACCCCACCAGGGTCCGCTTTGAAGCTGTGCATTCTCTCTGCTCCCCCACCCCAGCTACAGCGGATCACCCTGACTTCTCAAAGGTTCTTCTATTCAAGTTGCATCAATGGGGACAGCAGCACTGTGGAAGATTGTAAACAAACTCCAGGGTATTTCTAAATGAAACAAAAAGGTTACTTTATTCAACAATATAAAAATAAGATTCAGAAGTCATATTGCAAGAGTATTAACACTTAAAAAGGTTGCACTATGACACTTTCCATGCAAGTTCCTCAAAGGGATGCTATACAGCCATTTAAAAATGGTACTCTGTATTGTATTAACAAAATTCAAGGTGTCACTGGTAGCTCTCACTTAAACCTTGACAAACCTAAGCTGCAAGCACCCTGCTCTCTCTGCTAGAGGGAGCCATCACAACATATACTATATTTTGTCAACAGAACCATTCCCACCAGAAACAGTTTCAAATTTAGTGACAGCACAAAGGTGAATTTTGAAAGAGCCAATATACTTTCATGGATGCGTGCATGCAAAGGTACACATGTTACTTATTCTGTTACATCCACAGTATTAAGTGACTAAAAATCAGTGAACTGCTATGGACAGCAATTTTTTCCAGCACATTAAAAGTCACTTAACTTTCAAGAAATTTGGTTAACAAGTCAAAAGCCATTTGTCCTCCACAGCAAATTACAAGTTTTGACAAACTAACCCTTAACTACTTATTGAAATAGTTTTGACACAATGGTAGCAGGAAGAAGGAACAAATTAAAACTGTTACTGAACTAGCCATGTTGAAGGAGCAGACACAAAACACCATGTTTCAAGCAAAGAGCCACAGAACAACATTGTATCTTTAAGGTCCTCTGCACAACACTTCTCAGTCTCCAGAGCTCTGTGAATGAATCCAAACTCATAATCAGTATTTTAGTACCTAGTCTTCCCCCCCCACCACCCCACCCATGCATGCAACTGTAAACTGATTGTTGAAATTCTCAGGAGGTTTGACAAAACAGACAGCGGATTAAGGAGCGATCAATGAAACAGCAGCATGGCAACAATTTACCCAGCAGGGTTGTCTAGATAAAAAATCTGTTCACTGAGGATTTATCTATTACCTTTGTCATTTAAGCTCACTTGTTCCCCCTTTACCTCAGCCTCTAACCCATAAGTCAGAGACCTCAACTCACTCAGGACCACTTAGCGTGACAAAGAAACCATGTATTGTGCTTCAGTTAGAAAGGTTGGCAGTGAAGACAGAGAAACTGCCAGTGTCATGCCTTCATACTGTTGCGACAGATTGGAGATAGCTGCCTTGGATTGCAACAAGAACCACTGTCCCAGAAGGCCCTCAAATGCTGAAGGAGGCTGTGGACAGCATCTCTAGGATCTGCCCCTTTGAAGGAAGGGCTAAACTCCAAGAAAAACAAGTTCTACTCAGTCCAGGGGGAAGTGTACAGCGGAAGTGACTTGAGAGGGGGGCACAGTCACCTACAAAGCAGCTCCAAAAACCTACAAAAGCAAGTCCCATCTAACCTCAAGCATGATTGCAGTCATAAAGAGGAACAAGCAACAAGATGGCCAGTCACCTGAAGTACACAGGACACTGCTGGATTGGATAAAAAAGACAGTTCATTTTTGTAAGAAACAATATATTTTATTTTTCTGACACCACAGCCCTGGCGAGTGGTTTTGTACCAAATTTAATGGAGGTTACACAGAACGTTTTACGCTGGGGAGGAAAAAAAAATAACCACAAAAAAAAAAAAAATCCTGGATAACTTTTAGTGTCTGTTCCACTCCCACATTAATAAAATCACTTGGGGTTTCTAAGAAAAGGAGAATAGGAAACAGTGAGAGAGACTACTGTGGGATGTAACAGCGTCCAAGTCCAGCCCCTTCCTGAAAGTGGGAAAACTGCCCACAAGGAGAGGCTCTCCTAGATTTACTCCCCAAAATAACACAATGTATTGCAGCTGCCATAGGAGGAGACAGAAGGGGACGGAGAGAGAAGCCTATTTAATAAGGAGTGGGAGGGAGAGACAGAAGGTGCTGGACAGCACTCCATAATTTGAAAAATATGTCCTTAACTTATTATTTATTTCTCTTAAAAGATTCCCCTCACTGAACTTAAGTTCCTTTTTGTGCTTTTCATTAATACTCTGCTCTGAGGTCGTAGTTTGGTTTTCTATACATTGGAGTTGAAGGAAAATAGTCCGAAGTTCTGAAGATGGATTCTCCACCTAAAGTAAACAGCCTAGAATCCCATTCTCCTCTCACCCCAAAGACTAAAGTCTCTGCTAAAATCCCTTTTACAATATAGTACAGTACACAAAAAAAACCCCAAAAAATAACCAAGAGTCCTGGGAGAAGCCAGTCCAAAGGACGTAAACATACAGAGAATGGTGCAACTTGTGACAAATGGCAATTCTCAAAATACAGCTACAGATTCTCAAAGCAGGTGCCATCACGGGATACCCAAGTCCACAAAAATAATTTTTAAAAAATAAATCTTAAAAAAAAAACAACCTGTTAAAATGATTTTTTTTTTCAGGTAATTCCATACATTCGAAATTTCCCCAAAGTGTCCTCTGGTCTCTTTTCACCTATTGCATGGCCAAACTGTACTCCTGAAGCTCCCAAGAAAGCCCTCAGGACGTGGAATCTCATCTTGACAAGGATGTGAACATCCAGTCTTAGGGTAGCAGCTTAAAACATCATGTTCCCTGGATTTCCAGGGCCTTGGCTAAATCCTCCCATTCCAACATCAGCAGCCATACCTCGGGGTCTCATCTGGGGGGGAATCATGATGTTCTGTTGGGGTCCCATCATGCCCTGCATTGACATCATCATGCCGGGTGAGCCTACAGGGCCTGGATGACTATATAACCCAGCAGGGGCTCGGTCCTTGCCTGGAATCATGCCCACTGCAGCCACTGGATTACTCATAAGTGTGGGCTGGCCAGGCATTGCCGTTTGTGCTGGTGACATCATCCGATGATGAGGTCCCATCATCCCTTGCTGTAGAAAGGCAGGAGGTCTCATTGGGTTATGGCCTGGCATGGACGGAGATGTTCCAAGGGGGATGTCAGAAGTTCCCACTGGCCCCGGACCTCCCATGCCAGGTAATGTTAGTCCCATTCTTGGAGTCTGCTCTCCTATCATTCCCTGCATGTGCGAGAATCCAGGCCCGGGGCCCTGAGGCTGCTTGCGACCTGGACCTTCCCCGCGAGGGAAATACTGCAGTGTCTGGCTAGGCTTCTCTGATGGAATAATCCGGGACAGGTCAAACTCTGGTATTCCAGTGGCTCCAGGGCGGATCACCTCCTGCAGCTCTGGATCAGTGAAAACCGAAGGCATGTTGTTTCCAAGAACCGTGAAGGAGTCTGGACCACCAGGGCCTCCTGTCTTGCAAAGTGCTGGATCCGTTGAACTTTGGGGCAGGTTGGTGGGACGCCCAAGAGGTCCTTCTCCGTGGAAGCCCATTCCAGCTGGGAAGTTGCCTTGCCCTCCACTGGGGCCATTGTGTGGGAATGGCACCTGCTGTGGAGGGGACTGTACTGAAGGAAACCCCTGCGGGAAGCCCAGGCGTCCTTGAGGTACCATTGGAGGATCTTGGGAACTGTGCCCCATCATCGGATTGTGTGACATCAAGCCAGGTCCCACAGGGACCCCATGAGGAGGTATATTGGGTCCCATTGCATTTGGAGAGGGCATCTGATTATTATGGGAAAGAGGTTGGGTCATTCCCATTGGGCTAAGGGTTGGCATTGAACCCACTGAGTTCGGACCTGAAATTCGAGGATTCTGAGAGTTAATGCCCATTCCTAAAGGAAAAAACACAGAAAAGGAAAAGAAAAACATTTAGAGCTGAGATAGTAAATAAAGACACAAGAACTTTCTGTAAAATTCCTAGGCACCATTTCAACAAACAAAAAAAACGCAAAAAACACAGGGCTAGAGAAAATGCCAGAATAGCAACATTGCTAAATGCAAATTTATTTAACTACAAAAATACAGGTTTGCCATAAGCATCACTAAATCTCCCCTCATACACACAGCACCCCATCACTTTGATAGAACCCTGCTCTCAAAGCAGAATCTAAATCCAATTTATTCCTTCAGTTTTGTCAAAGCTGCCAATAAAGGGTCAATCAGTGACAAATGGGTGTAATACTTTGTCAACATACACAGGCATTTGTCCACTGAAAGGTGACCGAACATCCCTTTCCAAACATACATGATAGACAGTTGTCTTACCATAATTAAAGCTAACTGAATAATATTGGTCATGTGTATTATTATTAGTAGATCATACATGCTTAAAGTTGTCATCAAGTATCTATTCAACTAGTCAATTCTTCTTTAGATACTTCATCACCTCTAATCGTTGTTTTCCCAGGCTAATGGTGAACCAGTGACAAATAGGTGAACTCTCCATATATCCACTACAAGTTCATTACCTTGTCCTGGGATATCCAGTCAGCATCTTTTTCAATTTTGTTAGCTGGGTGCTTTTTAAATTTAAAAAAGCCCCACTTCAATATTATACTTGAGTGTAACTCTTGACCAGTAAGAGGCAAGATCACAAATATAAATACATTCATCCATTATACAACAAGTCTACAACCCCAGGGGACAAAAAGTTCCTCCCCTTCTTCCCTAATCCCTGTGCAAGGAACAAAATAACTTTCCCTTTCTCTGGCAGTCCAGACAGTCACCGCACTGCATTCCTTGTGCAAGAAGGTGCATGTCCTTGGGAAGCACTCCAACCTTCTCTTCTCTAATAGTAGCTGTATACAGAAAACAGATGAAGAGGAAGAATAGATGGTCCTGTGTCTATGGAAATTGATGGAACTTCTTTAACATGGGGTAAAGCCAGCAGAACAATCTTTTCCCAGCTAGCACACTGTGGGCACATCGACGCATTCATTAAATGAACGGTGCCTACTGCACATTAAATTTAGTACTTGCAGAAGGAAGTACTAAATAAATGCGCAGTAGGCTTCCCTACATTACATTAACTCAATCAAATGCCTTTTTCATGACAGTTAATGTGCAGTAGACTAATACTACTGCACATTAGTATAACACAGTTTTTGCTGCGATGCTGTACAGCACAGACAATCAGTCTACTGCGTATTAAGTGTCTCATGCAGGCACGCCCTGGATGTCTAATCCCAGAAACTTCTTCACACCAGCTGTCCTCATTAAACATAGGTTCTCCCACTGATTTCAGTACCTACCTCACCATAGAAAAGGTTTACAGACACTGCTGGGATACATTATGCAAAAAAGAAAAAAAATCTGGTTGCAAAAAGATAATTCCAGTAACTCCAGTCTGTGAATTTACTCTTCCTCCTCAAAAGCATTTCATGGTGACACTCTTCAAAGCAACCTGTATTAATCGTCCTTCCCACCTGGTACAGCTTCTAAGAATGCTCCCCTATGCTACCTGACAGCATTTGCTTATGCTGCCTCTGTTTCTTACCTGGTACATTGTTCATCGATGGCAAGTTTGGGGAACGTGCTGGAGGGGAGTCATCATCTGAACTGGCCACAGTCTTGATGGCATCGTGGTAAAGCGGTGTAGAGCTGGGCATGGCAAACTTGGACATCCTGGACATCATGATAGAGAGGGGATTCTGGGAGAGGGTGGGTTCGGGAGGCATTGTATAGGGGCTGCTAGAGGGAAGATTTCCAGGGAGTGTCACAGGAGCAGACTGGCTGACAGTGGAAGGAGGTGGACCACCTGAAAAAAAACAAAACAAAAAAAACCAAAAAACCCCATCTAGTCATTTTTCTTTGGAATAATTTGTTTGCTGCTTTGTTTTTTTTAAATCCTCTCCTGGAATCTCACTAAGTACAAGAAACCCAATGGCTTTCAAGAAAGGTACCAGTATGGTGAGATCTAATCTGAAATTCCCACTGATTCTGATCTAGGAGATCTCTCCAAGGATGGTGCCTTGCACACACTACAAGAAAAAAATCCAGAAGTGCAGTTAACTAGTTGAAAAATTTTCCCAAATGCCAGCTGCAATTCCTAGTTCAATTCTTTTCCTTTTCCTTCAGGATATGCCCCAAGTGTAAGCAAAGACAGTGGCCAAGAGACAGACTTAGTGGTCAGTGCAGCACAGGCATTCTTGCAGATTCTGGACAGTCATTAGATGCTAAAAGTAAAAATTTCCTATTTTGATTTAAGCTTCATTCTTTCACATCAAAAGCTCATTTCAGTGACAGTCCCAAGGAGTTAATCTGCTCTTATTAGTTTCATACAATCCCCTTCCTCTGTCAAAAACCAGAAACAGTTTTATGCCTTTCCCAACTCCATGTCCCTTCACCAACACACTTCCATCTGCTTAGGCCAATTCTGAAGCATGAGGGCCTAATTAAAATAAGTGTTATGACACAAGCAAAATGCACCACAAAACAGAAACAAGGAAAAAAACATGCAAAAACATGCACCATCATAGAAAGTCTGCTCTTGGATAAGATCCCAAGGCACAAAGTGTGGACACAGACTAATGCCTGACTCAAGCTTCAGTTATCTGAACCAAAAACATGCAAACTGAACAGCCAGCCTCAGACACCACTATCAGCAAACAGTCCAGATTCCACGCTCCAATGCCATGAGGTATATGGC